CTGAACCAACTTCATGTAAATAGACAGTTTAAACGGATTGATTCTTGACCTGAGATGGGAAAATGTAGCCCTGGCTCTCTGTGTTTTCAGATCCTCTGCTTACTCTTATTTCTTTTCCTAGTTTTAACAAAACAAAGAAGAGTCAACACAGTGCAAAGCAAGACTCCAGAAGCTAAAATCAACAGGCAGGGCAATGAACCAGGAAACTGGGCAACCCTTGACCTCCTCCGTGAGCCAATGATTTTCTCTGGATTACTGCTCTCTGGTAGGTGTTGAACACCACATCCTTTCTCACCTCCGTCAAGCCTCCAGGCCTAGAGATTCTGGTTCCTGATCAATCAGTAAAGGGCCTAATTAATAGCAGGACTTCAATACAACCTGAAATGCATTTTAAGTGGCATCATCCTACTACAATATGTTACCTTGTCTTTCTATCACTTCTTAATTATTGTAAGTTCAATTTGACTTAGGTCTTCTTGATAGGCTTGTGACAAATTTATGCTTGCTTTTCCTGAGTTCTTTAATGAGTTCTTCTGTCTTAAATTTTTATGGCTTAACCAGTTGCCTTACGAGACTATACATAACCTCAAGTTAAATCGGTTTGGCTCCTTGTAACTATCTCTCTTTTAAAATAATGTGGCATCATTCCTGGTTTTTTCTTTTTTTTTTTAACATTCAACTTGCAACAGTGTTCCTTTACATTCATCACTCTATCTTGCTCTTGATTACTGAATTTAAGAGATAGGACAATTTCTTTTTTCAGACCACAGATTACTCTATTCAGCACTCAAGGGCAATCATTAACTGTAAAAGCCTACATAGTACTCCTGTTGATGGTCAAAATCTCCTTTATTTTACTGCTATTAAATTCTTAATGGGGATCTCAGATGGCTGGGAAATAGGATTCCTGGCGCAACCTTTGTTGAGGCCCTGCACAGTCATCCTGATTCAGGGAATCGAACTCCCCTCCCTAGGAGGTGTTTTGCCATAGACATGAGTTAGGTGGCAAATGGCAAATCTTGGCACCTTGTATTCTGGGAGGATACTAAAAAAAAAATAATAAAATAAAAAAAAACCCACAAGTACTGCACCTTGTATTCTGGGAGGATACTAAAAAAAAATAATAAAATAAAAAAAAAACACAAGTACTAAAAGCCGAAGTCTTATTTATAGCCTTCTTGATTTACAATAATAAGGCTTGGACCAAAAAATATGGCGGTGTTTTATGGCGGTATCCCAACCTCCAGACACTGCATCACATATCATGATGTCCACTTCCAGAATTATAGAGAAGATGGAAATTGCTTACTGCATGTGTCTGAGTTTTTGAACTCTAGGCTTCTAGCCAAAGGTAGTGGAGATGCCTTTGGTAAGGTGAGACAAGCTCTCCATCAGTTGGGAGACACTTCAGGCTTTGCTTAGAGGTCTACATTTAAGTACAATAATCAGTGTTGATGTGTTCCAGAGGTTGGGGTCTCTCTGTTGTCACCAGTTCTGGACCAAAAATCAAAAATAGCAATATGATGGAGCTGGGGTATCGGTGACGATGTGAAGGATGAGCGTACCTCACCAAAGACTTGGGAGGGTAAATGAAGAAGGCTGGGTGAGTGGGTGAGAAAATGGAGGCGTGAGAACATAGGTAAGACCAAAAACCCAAAGGGTTCTGTAGACTACTCCTCGGAATCCTAGAACAAATTTATTAATTATTTTGTGCAGCTATTTCTACTTCACGAGGATGTTACAGACTGATTAGCTACAGAAAAACTGCCAAAGAGAACCATTAAAAAAATCTACATTGCTAAAAATTCCTGTTATCAACTCCAATTCCGTACGTGTCTACTTTCCTCTTTCAGCCAGTGGTAGTTTTCATTTCCAATCGAGAAATAATGGTGAATAATCCAGTAGCTACAATGTAAGTCATGCAGCTAAACACAACAAATTGGCCAGCCCACAATGTATTGATTTTTAAATAAACTAGCTCACTTCCCGGCTACAAATTCGGCTCTAAACTGGTAGTAAAATGAAGCAAAAATCATCACTTTGAACTTCTGTCCCTCCTAGGTTTTTGTTACTGGACAAAGAGTAATCCCCAGAGACCCATCCCTGCTTTATACACTAATCAATGCCATTAATAATTATCCTCCTCCCTGCTCTGCTCAAACTCAGGCCCTGATTTCATACCAAGCATGTTATCTACAGCTGCCTTGGGAGCAAACACCCGTTTTGACAACAGCAACAAGCACCTTCATTATTATTCAAGACTCAACCTTAGAAATATGATCAATGCTCTTTTACCTCGGGGAAGAAAGTTCTCAGAGCGAAATGTTTGTAGTCAAGGAAGGGAACAGTTCCAAAACTATCAACCACATCCAATTTATCCATCTGCAGCTCAGCAAAGCCTGCAAAACAGAATCCCAAGAGCAATATTTTAACTCAACAAACAATGGATAAGATCTTCTGCTGTTTTGTCTAACACGGAGTATGACCTTGATTTTCATTAAAGAAGAAACAATAGATAATTACTTGGTTGGCTACAGCAAAGAGCTGAAATAAAACACAAAGCCAGGCCCAGGCCCTGCTGTTCAGTTGTCTCCAATTTTAGTTTTCCATGACTATGGCTGTTTTCATTTAAGGGTAAAAACATAACAATAAGAATAAGAAAGACTTGTTTTTCTACAAAGAAATTTCTGGAGCCTACCATCACGGATCTCTTTGCGGAGCTCGCTTTCCAGGAGTTCCAGCTGTTGGCTCTGCTTGCGACTTAGCTCCTTGGATTTGTGCCTGGTCACCCCCACAGCCGCTAGGGAGACAGAGACGCTGCATCAGACTGACGTGGTTACTGAAGAAACAAAAACCCAGCCTTATAGTTCTTTAATAGGAAGCAGAGGTAGAAGAAAAAGATGGGAAGAGGTGACAGAGGAGGGAGAAGGAGAAAAGAGACTAGAAATAATACTTACTAGCTGGATTGGGGGGCCAGGAGGTGGTGCAGTGGTAGTGCAACTGGACTCACATGGGAAAGGTCCTGGGTTTGCACCCTGGGTCTCCCTGAGCGTGCCAAGCGAATATTCATGTGCCCTTGATCCGGGCCAACTAAGGTGGTGGGTAGATTGCAGTGTGAAGAGCCCATGGCAGTTGGGACCAGTAGTTAGCATAATGGCTATGTCGCTGGACTCTCATGTAATCGACCACGGTTCATGTCCCGGACATGGTGGCTTAAACTCACACTGGGCATGTGTGTGTGTGTGCCCAAGATCCTGAGAGGAGAATGGAGAAGGGATTGCAGCATGGCCATCCCACCTGGGGGGTGATTTCTCACTTTCTGTCTCTCTGTCTCCCTCTGTCTTTCTGGCAAGCACACACACCCTATAGCAAAAACCTCTAAAAAAAATAAAAAATGAAAAAAAAAGACCCCATTGGGGGTGTGTCCCCCCATGAAAGATATAAATGAAAAACCTTCAAATAAGAAAAAGAGCTGGATTCTCTTTTCTTTCTTTTTTTTTTTTTTTTTTTTTTTTTAGCATGGTGCTCACCAGTCAGAGAAAGACAAAGAGAGAAAGTGAGAAGTAACTCCCAAGGGTGAGGGGTGGCCACACCACTATTCCTTCTCCTCCATTTTCCTCATGGGATTTGGGGCACACACACACCCAACATGTTTTTCAGGCCAGTGGTGTCTGGGACTGCAACTGTGGAGTCACCCATGTGGATCCAGCGCCTTAACGCCATGCCACCTGCTGGTCCCCAAAAGAGCTGAATTTTATTTAAAAAAAAAAAAAAATCCCAGTGAGGAGTCACTCTAAAGAGAAAGATGTTAAAATGCAACAGAAAAAAAAAATCCACTCATCTTAAAAGTGAAAACTAAATCAAATAACCTTCACTTGTAACCAAAGATCCCAGCTGGCTGGAAAGTAATGAAACACGTTTCTCTACAGCTACAGGCCACTTATATTGTTCCACTCTCTGTTTTAATGTTTCTAAACATCCCTGGAGAAATAAAGTTGTGCCGCAAATGCAGAGAGAAACCACAGATCCACAGTTGGCTATGTAAGCCAAACTCGCGAGACCTAATGGGTGATGGGCGAACCACAACAAACCCCCTAACTGGACACCTTGTCCTGCTCCTGACTGTGCTGCAGAGGCACCAAACCAAGCGCTCAGTGCTCGGGAGCATGTCCCTGTTTATTAGCTGTTACGTCCCTCACATCTCTGCGCCCGGCTGCCTGCTCTCCTTGCATGTCTACCCCACTGAGATGCTGGAAGGATGATGAGAAGTAACTCACAGAAAGTTTTCTTTAAAAATATTAAGTGCTCAGGGCTGGCAGGTGGCATGGTGACTAAGGAACTGGACTCCCACATGGCCGATTGTGGTTCGAGTCCCGGATACGATGGCTTGCTTTCTCACTTTCCCTTTCTCTCTGTCTCTGTCTCTTTCTGGTCAAATTAAAAAAAAAAAAATAATAAATTAAATAATTTAAAATTCTTAAAAATAGTAATGATAATAATAAGTGCTGCCAGTTAGTAGCACAACAGGAAGAGGGACGCTCTGCAAGGCTGATCCACATGGAAAGGTTCAGTGTTCGCTTCCACAGACCTCCCTGAGTGCACCAGGCATATGTGGGCCCATGACCCTGAGCTGCCTGAAGCTGGGGGGCAGATTGTCAAGATGCGACTGGGATGTTATCCTGTGCTTCTCTGTCTCCCTCGCTCACAGAAGAAAGAAATAAAAAATCCTTAAGATAAGTGTTCAACAATTGTCAACTATCATTATTCTAGGAAATTTCTCCTCTTTGAATAGAAATTATATGACAAAAGAGCACTGCTAGTAATAGATGTGACTGATGCTGGAAGAAGCACAATTAAATCTTTTTTTATTTGTTTGTTTGCTATAGGGCATATGTGTTCACCAGGGAGACAGGGAGAGAGAGAGGGGGAAAGTGAGAAATCACCCCTTAGGGGAAGGGCCACGCCCCAATCCCATCTCCTCTAGTATCCTCTCAGGATCTGAGGCACACACACGCATGCACATGCTTAGGGTGATTCTCAAGCAACCAGGTCCAGGACTCAAACCATACAGCTGGCCATGTGGGATCCAGTTGTCTTAACCTCCACACCACCTGCTGGCCATAGTTTTTTGTTTGTTTGTTTTGTTTTGTTTTTTTAATACCAGAGGGTATATGCACACATGACAGTGAGAGAGAGAGAGAGAGAGAGAGATAGCACCTACCCCAGTGGGGCTTTAGTTCCATCCCATAAGGATCACAGGCATGTGCAAACATGCTGGGCACGTTTGTCAATCTGAGACCAGGATTCAAACTGGTCAGCTATGTGAAATCGGGCTCCCTCTGCTCAGTGCTTAACCGTTGCATTACAGGGCCAGCCCTATGTGTGGTTCTTTACTGGACCAATCACAAAGTCAGCAGCCCTAACCAGAATGTGTATTGTCCATCTCCAAGAAATAGGAGAATGTGCAGTAATTCCAACACTTACTGGACCACAGAGCCCCTTTTTCCAAGTGTGCACTTAGGACTGGGATTCCTCAGGCCACACCTTGAGCAACACTGGCTCATGCGGGTGAAGGGAGCTTGCAGGCCACATCTATAAGGTAGTGAATTTCCCAAGGCAGAAGTCTGCAGGGGAGGCTTTGTAGGTGGCTGCCGAGGCCAGGTGTGTTTGGTGTTTGTGCTAATGATCTGATTGACGACTACATTTCTTTTTACTTACTCAAGCTGTTGTTGACACATATACCTCCCTGGAATCATGGGAAGAAGGGAAGAAGGATTTTAAGGGGTTTTGCAGACACAAACAAAGCCATAAACTATGTGTCAGATTTAGCCCACCTCACCAACAAGAGCAGAAAAATCTCCACAAAGTGAAGGGCAGGTGGGCTTCCTGGGGCAGCCGTAATGCTCTGCTCAAGAGAAGCCAAACCCATGTGGCAACTGCAGTCAAATCCCCAGCCCAGTCAGCCTGAAGCATGCTGGGAATGTGTGCAAGTGCCTAAAGCACTGCAGGACTGAAAGAAGAGGGTCGCAGCATGACCAGGCCCCGTGGAGTGCACTCATGTCTCTCTCTTGCTCTTGCTCTGTCTCTCTCACATGCACACACCTGGTACCCTATCGTGGATAAAGACAACATTTAAACTAAAAAGAGAAATGGGGAGCCACATATAGGTCAGGAAGGATGAGAAGTTTCTAGTAAGTCAGGAAGTGGATGTGACTCTAGCTGAGACTGTTCTGCATAAGGCTGCTTAACAATAGCAGCTTCTCCAACTAGAACCCAGGGTTTAGAATTTATAAGCAATCTTCTTACTTGAAACTAACACCAGCCAGGACTTTATTAAAATGTCAAGCCCCAATTTTGATCCTAAATATGTGACAGGGATGAGTAACTTGAGGAGAGTGTGAAAAACACCTGAGATGATCCTTAACAGGGAAATATAGGTCTCTGCGAAGTGAATTCATTTCACTAGGCCAGTTAGTCATCCACACACATCTTGCCTTCACTGGATCGTGAAATACCCAAGGGAAAGGGTCCATCTTTAAATCCTCTTCACTAGTTCCTGGGACTTGCATGGTTACCAATAACATAACAGGAGTCCGGTCAACGTAAGGTAAATAGGCCAGCCACAGTGGTGTAGTGGGAACACAATGCTACACAATGCTGACATGGGAAGGTCCTGGGTTCACATCCTAAGGTCTTCTTGTGCCCTCTGGATACATGTGTGTGCCTGTGATTCTGGCTGGCTGAGGCTGGGGTCACGGTGTGAAGACCCTTTTGGGGGGGTTCTCTCTTCTCTATTTCTCTCTCTCTTCCATGAAAGAAATAAATAAAAGTTAAAGGGGAAAAAAGGTAAAATGGTTAAAAGAATGAATGAATAAATGAAAGAACGACTACATGGAAGGAGACATTAGCCACTACCTTTATTAACCTGAAATGTTAATGCAGCAATACTTATGTTAAATCAAGGAATATGAAATGCTATATTCATTGGTGAAAAAGAGTTTCTTTTTCAAAGAAAGATGAAAGAGAATAAACTTAAAACGAAAAGCAGCTTCCAGACACATCAAAAGTGAAATGACTATGGAGATTAGGTACTTAGATGAAATAAATGAGTGGAGACAATAAGGAGTGGTGGAGACTGTGGTGAAACCCCAGGGAACATACACACCCTCTCTCCAGCTGCTAGAAAATGGAAGCGCAGGAAAAATTAGGATCCCATAATACAGGTTTTTCACATTTTCAAGAGATTTTTAAACATATGAATCACTAATTTTTTTTTAATTGCCAGAGGGCACATATGCGTGCCAGACAGAGGCAGGGAGACAGGGACAGAGAAAGGGAAAAAGCATCCCTCCCCCAGTGGCGTGTAGTCCTAGCACAATCTCTCTTCCATGTTTTTCCATCCCATTGAGATTTGGGGCATGTATGCACATGTACCTGGCATAAATCACTGATTTTAAAATTTTGTCTCCTGTTTAATAGTTTTTAAAAATGCTGTGAGGACTAGGGACCAGCAGTTGGCATAATGGCTATGTCATTGGACTCCCATGTAGTCAACCACGGTTTGAGTTCTGGACCCGGTGGCTTAAACTCACGCTGGGCACGTGTGTGCCCAAGATCCTGAGAGGAGAATGGAGGAGAAGGGATTGTGGCATGGCCATCCCCCTGGGGGGTGATTTCTAGCTTTCTGTCTTTCTGTCTCTCTGTCTTTCTGGTGAGCACATGTGACCTGTAGGAAAAATCTCTCCCCCCCAAAAAGAAAGAAAGATGCTATGCTCTGTTATGAGGACTAAACAGAACATATCAGTGGTCCAGAATCAACCAGTGGGCCACCACCATGGACCAATCGCCATGCTTGGATCAGCCTTGGAATACTTAAACAGACGGCATGGATCACACTTCTAAACTGTAGTTCTGCCAGAAAAATCAGGGCTGGGGGAGAGTAGAGAGTGGTGTTCGATGGGATAAGAAGGCAGGATGAGATGACCAAGTCCTAGGAGTCCAAAATCACAGGGGAATTCTGAGTGACTAATATAAATGGACACTTGTCATCACAATTCAAAGGCATGAGGGAGCCAAGAGGATTCGTGTCTCAAACACGAAGACACCATCTTTGTAATCCAGCCTTTTATTAATGAAGCAGCCTTAAGAAAAAAAAAGTCTCAAAAACCTTCAACGTGTACCTCTTATTCCTTTTGCCAAGTTTTGATTTGGGTTTTCACCCATTAATACTTAATTGAAGCAAACGAGAAGGGATTGTGGCATGGCCATCCCCCTGGGGGGTGATTTCTAGCTTTCTGTCTTTCTGTCTCTCTGTCTTTCTGGTGAGCACATGTGACCTGTAGGAAAAATCTCTCCCCCCCAAAAAGAAAGAAAGATGCTATGCTCTGTTATGAGGACTAAACAGAACATATCAGTGGTCCAGAATCAACCAGTGGGCCACCACCATGGACCAATCGCCATGCTTGGATCAGCCTTGGAATACTTAAACAGACGGCATGGATCACACTTCTAAACTGTAGTTCTGCCAGAAAAATCAGGGCTGGGGGAGAGTAGAGAGTGGTGTTCGATGGGATAAGAAGGCAGGATGAGATGACCAAGTCCTAGGAGTCCAAAATCACAGGGGAATTCTGAGTGACTAATATAAATGGACACTTGTCATCACAATTCAAAGGCATGAGGGAGCCAAGAGGATTCGTGTCTCAAACACGAAGACACCATCTTTGTAATCCAGCCTTTTATTAATGAAGCAGTCTTAAGAAAAAAAAAAGTCTCAAAAACCTTCAACGTGTACCTCTTATTCCTTTTGCCAAGTTTTGATTTGGGTTTTCACCCATTAATACTTAATTGAAGCAAACAGCCCCTGAAAGCTGAAAGTCTGCCTGCCTGACGAGAGGCCCCAGGGAATAATTTCTCTGACAAAATTAAACAGGGCACTTACCAAAAATGACAATCACTAGCAAGACGGGAAGCACAATCAGAAAATACCAAGTGGAAGGAACTGATTCCTGCTCGACATCGAGCTCCAGGTTGCCCAATTTGACCTAATGAGACCAAGAGCATCATTAGACCCAGTAGAGTTGGGTACCATATTTTTGTACATAGTTGTTCCTCTAAATGGTTTCAAGATACACAAAGCAGTGGTGAGATAGGCAGGATTTCTGAGTTCAAGTTCCATTTCCGGGGAAGACAAGCTGTGTCCTTGGACAAACCAAGAACATTCCCTGTGCCTCAGTTTCCTAATCTGTCAGTTGATGTGTGTAGGGGAGACTTAGAGATGTTAAACTTTGGCCCTCTTTGTCTTAAAGGAGTGGGGTCAATAAAGAGGCAGTAAAGTGAGGCTGTGAAGCCACTCTATCCTTTATTCTAAGAGAGTAACTTGACTTGTCTGTTCTACACCTAGTGCTCTTTGTCAAGCTTATTTTGAACAAAGCACTCTGTGTTAGAAATTAGTTTGGCAGTGCCGACTGGATGACCCTTGAGGGCCTTTTTCCAGTTTTTGCATTTTTGGTTATAAAAACGTGGTGAAACTTGTAAAGGGAAAGGCACTGCCTCACACCTATTTCTCATCAATGCACATCTAAGATACACCGAACACACTTCCATTCTTGGGGCCGTGGCTGTCCCTACAGAGGCATTTGAGCAAAGGAGCAGGAGCAGACTCTGGCCCCAAACAGCCCAGGTTGTCAGCCCCAGCTCTGCCACCTGCTCCCCTACCAGAAGGATCTTCAGTGAGTCCCTCAGCCATCCACTCCTCATTCTCTTCATCTCTAAAACGCAATGTTGATAGTGCCTCTTGGAAGGCTGTTGTAAAGACAAGCGGCTATGACGACCTGCTCAGAACTCTCCAAAGGCTTCCAAGTGTTCAAAACCTAAGTGCTTGTCATGGCCCTCCAGGATGGTTTTTTGCTCTCCCATCAACCTCCTCTGAACACTCACTCCTCATTCGTCTATTCCAGCAAATCTGTTGCCCTTTAGACACCCTGTCTCAGGATCTTCACAGTCCACAGTTCCCTTTGTCTAGAACATTCTACCCCATTCCCAATTCTACCCCCATACCCGATGGTTCATTCCCTTCTTTCTTGATGCCTTCACTCCACTCTCATCTTCTCTGCCTACTTCAATAAAACTCAGCACCATCTAACCCCGTGCACCTAATTCTTTCCTTTCACTGTTCTCCATTAACAATTGGCACCATGTGACACATTTTTTATTTAGTTTCTTTACTATATGTCTCTTTAGGTAAATTTAACAAAGATAGATGTTTTTGTCTGTTGTCTTCTCTGCTCTGTCCTTTACAGCAAAGGCACTCAGGAAGTAGGCCGTGAATGATGAAGAATGCCTGGATCTGCTCTTCTCAGCTACCATGAGTGGTGGGAGCACCTCTGAGTATAGTTATTATCGACTTTATAAGTGTCATCACCCCTTTACTGTGCACATGGATGAAGGGAAGCTCAGGGAAGTCAACTTACCTAAGGCCACACAGCAATTCATTAGTGCAGCACAAACATGAACACGTTTTTGTTTTTGCCTTCCAGTCCATTTTTCTTTTCTTGTCCCTTAACCAATTACTTATGACTATAGATCACAAAGCATTTAAAAATCTATATGTATAGATATATTGGGTGGAGTCTCTTATAGCATGAACACTGTAAATGGTGACTTCTAATATGTTTTCCTTCTCAGTGGTCTTCCACCTTCATTGTGGGACATAAATATAGCAGGGATAGATCTTTCAAACACATGCCTGGGACAAGATTAATTGCAGGAAGTATGACGTCATGGTCAAGGAAGCAGCCCATGACCCACAGATTAGTTGGTCTCCATTAGACTCATGCATGCTACCCTGAGTGTGCTGAGGAGGGGGCCCCCATTTTGGATTTCTGCTTAGACATGTCTCCTCTGCATTGAGGAAAAGAATGACAGCTCCTTCGTCAATGGGTCTAGAAATCTGTTTGCAGATGCTACCGTCTAAATGTATGGCTAGAACAAAAGCTATCAAGACTCATTAGTATTGTAGACAATGGTGCGTGCAATGCTTTGACATCCAAACAGGCACATGAGTGGATTCTGCCATCTATTTTGGAAGAATTATGCTTGGACTTGCAGTCCCAGCTTTGTTTATCTCCTATTTAAAACGAAGATATAAAGATCCATGAAAAATTCCATTCTGGCCTCTGGTTTATCCAAAGAATGACCAAAAATCAGGTCTAAAGAGAGCAGGTGAGTCTGCCAGGGGACTTACACGAACTTTCTTGGATGAGTTGACAATTTTGTTTGCAGAGTCTTTAATATCTTTAATTTTACAGAGGATGGTGGTGAGATCTTGGTTTCTAGTAATGTTTTCAAAACTGCAGTTTAATTGCTCATTTTCCCCATGGAAGAGAGTAATTTCAATGTCTTTTTTAGAAATGTTGAAATTATCATTTTCTTTCTGTATCAAAAAAAATGAAGTTGAAGAAATCAAGAAACATGTAGATACTCAGGAGCATAAACACACCTTTCCAGTCAAGAGGGGAGGAACACATCCCACTTCAGAAAAAGAAACATACTTGAATTTTTACTTGCAATTCTGTGTCCACCTCTGATTCTACCCGATACCCTGTAAACCTGGGGTCCTCCAGATACTGCAAGGTTCCACAGTCCAGGAGGGTGTCCTGTACTCTCAGCTTCACAGTGACATTGGCACGTGCTTTAGAACTCTTTAAACTGGGGGCTAAAAACCTGCAGGAAGTTGCCATACAATACGTAGAAACCTGGAAGAGAGGCAAAGGCCATTTTATTAACTTCCCCAAAGAATCGCAGCTCTGGTGTCTAAGAACTGAGTGACCTGGGCTGCCAAACTTCTCAATGCTTCTGTTTGCTCATCTGTAGCATGGGGTTAGCAATACTAACTGCCTTGCAGGATTCGTTTAAGTTAAAGGAAGGCTAAATTAGGTAACACATGCCAAAATGTTGAAACAGTGCCTGACACACAATAAGCACTCAACAAATGCTAGCTAATGTTATTATTATTATCAAAGTGATTCATGATAATGGGAGCAGACAGATGGTGGTGCAGAAGGAAAGGGAGCTAGGGAGAAAAAAGCAGGATCGAGAAGGAGGACTTTGGCCCAAAGGGCTTAGGTATCCTTCAGGTCAGTATGATTGAGTCCTGGCGAACTACGAGAAGTGAAGAACCCAACCTTGGCAGGAAGGGCCAGCCCTGACCTGTTCGTTGCTGCTGAATCACCCTTTGCTGGGGAACCTCCTGCAGAGTTTTAGCAGAAGTCACTTAACCACAAAGAGGAAAAAACTTTTCAGGCATAATAGAAGATAGGAGAAAACAAAAATAAAAGGAACAATGCATCCGCCATGAAATGAAGAGCATGAAAACTGGAAGCAATGCAGAAAGTGTGGTCCAATTTGCAAGACTTTTAGAATAAATAAATAAATAAATATTGGGTCATTGGAAATGTGTCATGACTTTTCCAACGACCCAATACGTTGTCATTTCCAGGAGTACTGAGAGTCAGGCAGAGAAAGCTGATGAGTAAGAAGAAGCTGAAAAATGGTTTTTAAAAGAGTAACCAAAGCAGTCAGCAGGTGGCATTGTGGTGAAGGTGCTGGACTCCCCTGGGACTGACCATGGTTTGAGACCTAGACCTGGCAGGTCCACCTCACAATGGACAGGTGTGTATGCATGCCCAAAATCCCAAGAGGAGAATGAAGAAGGGACTGCAGCATGGCCCTCTCCCCTGGAGTTTGATTGCTCACTTTCTGTCTCTCTGTCTCACGCATGCTCCCTATTGCAAAAATCTCTTTAAAAATTTTTTTAATTAAAAAGGGAATAACTAAAACTAGTGAAAAACTTGTCAGTTGAGGCAACCCACTCCCCCCCAATTTGGAGTAAAATAAAAGGGAGAGGTTACAGGGACTGCAGGTGGGAAAATCTGGCACAAAGAGCTGAGATATGGACAAGCACAACCTTCATCTACCTCAACACCTCTCCAAACGCAGCCTGATCTCCCACTGGCATCTCTGTCAATAGGATCAAAACACCATACCCACTGCCTCCACATCCTCAACTGATTTAACCCCTAACACACTGGCTTTTAAAAATAAAATTTTAATTTACTTTTCTTTGCTCATGATAGAGTACATGTATATGCATATGAGAGTGAGAAAAAGAGAGAGACAGAGAGAGAGGCACTCTCTGTGGAGTCTGGTCTCTCTGCAATCCCTTTCCTGCATCCTCCAGTCTGTTGGGTCATGGGCACTTATGCACATGCCTGCTGTTTCAGGCTGACTGGGCTGGGGATTTGAACTGCTATTACCACATGAGAGCCAGCTTCTCCTGAGCAGAGCATTCCCACTGAGCCACAGAACTGTCCCCAGATGCTTCTAGAAAGATCACCAGCAATATGCCAGCTCCATGGCCTAGTGGTGAAGGCAGCTGAATCCTACATGGCCTATTCAAGTCCCAGACCCCATGGATTGAGAAACATGCTGGGCACATGTGCACGCATACTCAAAATCCCAAATGAGGGAGTGATGGAAGAGAAGGGATTGTGGCATGACCATTCCCCATCGGGGCGTTTTCTCCTCTCCCTCTGTCTTTCTCTCTCTGGGAAATCTGTGTGCCCTGTTGCAGAAAAGAAATAAACCCAAGATTTCCAGTGGCAGGATCACCCCAACCTCAGAATCCTCAAGATGCTACATTTCTATTCCAGTGACCAGTAGACCTGGTCTGAATGCTTTTTCTCTAGTTTCCCAGTGACTTCTCAGTCACTTTTGGTGGCCATCCTACATTCTTTCACTCCTTAAAATGAAGCTATTTTGCCAGCTTCTGTCCTATACCCTCTTTCCTTTTTTTTGTGCTCTCAGTTCTACAACGTCACCTTCCACTCTCGGTTTAGCAATAATCCCCCAAAGAGGAGCCAGTCATCTCCAGCCTCACCATTGCCCTGCACTCCAGACCAGCCCAGCCAGCATCGCCAACACACCTGGACATTTGCATGTGCATCCTTTATCGGGCTCCCAGCCCTTTTAGACAACTGCCTCTCCAAATTGTCCCCTGCACCATTGCCAGAACAATAGCCATGGACTAGACTCAAGCTACTCCCTGCTTCGAGATCTTCAATAGCTCCCCACTGCCTACAGAATTAAAAGTAAAGTTTTCACTCTGACGCTGTCTTACGTGGCCCCAACACAGTTATTCAGCTATCCCTGTAGCTTGGTCCCAATTCACCGTCTTAAGTTCCAGCTGAGCAGGACTGAATGACGTTCTCATCACAGGCCTGTGAGGGGGACCAGCAGTTAGTGTAATGGCTATGTTGCTGGACTGCCATGTAGTCAACCGCGTTTTGAGTCTCAGACCTGGTGGCTTAAACTCATGCCGGGCGCATGTGTGTGCATGCCCAAGATCCTGAGAGGAGAATGGAGGAGAAGGGATTACAGGGTGACCGTCCCCCCTGGGGAGTGATTTCTTGCTTTCTGTCTCTCTGTCTTTCTGGCGAGTATATGTGCCCCATGGCAAAAAAACCTCTCCCAAAAAAACCAGGCCTGTGAGGAATCTGTCCTCAGTACCTGAAATCACCTCTCTGTTTCCATGGATCCAAATCCTACCCATCCTGCTGCAGTCTGCGGACATTCTTATTTCTGTCCATGTGTAATTTCTCTTTCACATGGAAACACATAGTACCTTCTTGGACACCCAAAGTCCTTAAGGTGGGAGAGAATCTGAGGACGTAGGCCTCAACAACACCTCATGCTATCAACTTTCTTTCTTTCTTTCTTTTTTTTTTTTTAAGAGAGCTTTTTGTTATAGGGTGTGTGCACTTGCCAGAGAGACAGAGAGACAAAAAGTGAGAAATCACCCCCAGGGGTGATGGCCACACTACAATCCCGTATCCTCCATTCTCTTCTTAGGATCTTGGGCACACACACCCACAAGCCATTGGGTTCAGGACTAGAACCATAGTCAATTATGTGGGAGTCCAGCAATGTAACCATTATGCCATCTGCTGGTTCTTCCCATGCTGTCAACTTTCAATCCCTCTGCAGATTTGTAGGCAGTGGGACCTCATTTATCTTTCGGCCCTGCATCCAGCATAATGTTTTGCCCACAGCAGATTCTCAATAATTTTCCTTGATTTGAGAATAGCTTTTGGAAGGAAGACCAAGACCACTGACAATGTCAGGTGCTGCCTCTGGGTAGAGTTTCTGTCCATGTGAATCATTCCACTGAATGTGCTTGCATCACAGAGATATGGTCCGGAATCAGATACCCTGTGGGGCTTGGAACAAGCTTAGAAATGAGTTGATAGTTGGACGTGTGCATGGCAAGCCTGTAAGGATGACATATCAGGAGGCCTCCTATACCTTGGCCTGAACCATGGGTCCTAAGCAGGGACAAGGTCTGCAGCCGCTCTTAGATCTTCTAGCCTTGGCAGGAAGTGGGCAGGCTGGGCCCCAGAGAGGCTGCTACTCTCACATCAAAGGAAGGGAGAAAGGGGAAGTGAGAAAGGGGAAGAACATTCGAAAGGAGTCTCAACGTGCACTTGGAGGCACTGACTCGTATCTGAAATCTCTCATCTCCCCTCTTACTCCTGGGGTTGGAGTTTCTACCCAGAGGTTCCTGAGACAATCATGAGGCACTGGTGAGAGAACTGAGCAGTGAGTGGGGACTAGACCCCTTCTACAGTTTCCACTAGAAGGAGATGAAAGGCAAAAGAAGGTGAGGTTAGATGAAATGGATCAAATTCAGTCAAAGAGACAATGAGAGGGAAGAAGCAGCATGTGACAAGACTTCTGGGACTTTAGAAAGTCAACTAATCTCTCCAAAGTAGCTCTCTCACTGCAATGGAAACACCACCACCTACTCTTCACAGCAATGCTATTCTTCTTTACCTCACACCTTAACCATTCACATATGTGCATTTTCACACATATTCATAAGCATGTCTCATTAAAATGACTTGCTGCAAATCACAAAAAGCGAAAATGGCTTGTCTTGTCGTATCAAGTTCATTTCTTTTCCCTCTGTGCTACAACTTGAAATACCCAACTACAAGTGGAAGGTCTTATTATTTCCATTATAGCGCGGATCATTCACATCATGCAACAGTTAAAAGTTTACAACATAAAATGCATAGAAATGAAAACTATCCCCCAGCATAGTTTAGCGTGGTGAAAGTAAAAGCATCCTTGAAAGTAACTATTATTACAAAGCAGCTGAAGACTTACATTTATGTTTCCTTTTAACTCATGGGAAATGATTAGGTTGTCAATTACATCAAAATTTCTGCCCATGATGGTTATATTTTGGCCACCACTGCAAAGAGACAAAGCAACCATAAGGATCTCACAGTAAACACACAGGCACCTTGCTTTCTTTTATGAACAAAGCTATCAACTGATTCACATTCAATATTAAACTCAGTCATGTTTGAAAGAAAATTAACTAATTTTCATTTCAAATGCAGGACAAGTTTAGAAGTCTTTCAAGAATACTGGCCACAAATTCATGGCTTTTAAGATGCATAAATATAAAAATTCAGGCCACATCCTATTTTAATTCTAGGAAAATGCCCACATTCTTCAGCAGATTTTGAGTTTCTTTGCGTCATTTTGCCACATATAATCAGATCATCAGCCGTACCCTGAACAGGTTTTACTAAACAGAATTTGGTTGATTGCTATTTAATCTATATGAAGATTCTTCAGTCTAACAATTTTCAAATCAAACACCCAACCTGCCAATTATATTTTATTTAGGGAATGAGGGAACTCTTTGGACAAGATAACATTATAAATGACATTAAAAGTATATATTCCTATTTGGTAAACCGTATAAATAATGGCTATGTTTATCTCTCCAAAACCAAGCTAAATGCTTTCACATGTTCTCAGTACAGGATCACACATGAGCAAAGTGGTCATTGGGTGTGAAATACACAGCAGTCCACAGCTGTGACTGCCTACGCACTCCCCCATACACGTAGGTTACCAGACACCCATTCTAGGGACAAGAGCTTGGGAATGTCAGGTCCAACAACTGGCCGTGTCTCCTGATGACAAGGCCAGGCGGTGAGCATGAGCAGGCCAATTTGTGTAGAGCAGAGAGAAGACATTGAACTCTGTATCCTCCAGCTGCGAGGGGGAAAGGCTGAGTTGGCCTCCTGCCAACCATTACCATTACCAGCAACCGAGCTAAACGTGCTCTGAGATGGCCAGACCGCGGAGTCATGTCCTTGTGCAAGACACATTGACCCAGTTAAAACAAGAGACAGGCTCAGGATGTCACAGATGACGGGATGGTAAGGAGCCTCTTACTTCACAGTGAAACAGAATACTATGGCACTCAGAGCACAGCTTCCTGAACTGAGCTGAACTGCCTGGGAGCCTGCAGCAAGTTATTTGAACCCAGTCTGTGCCCCAGTTCTCTTGTCTGCAAAACGGAGGACCCAAGCGGATCACTTAGGCTCATGGCAGGGATTAACCCAGTCAATAGGTGCACCGCGCCAGGCACATGGTAAGCACCGCATCAATGGCTGCATTTATTTATAGGGTGGAACTAGTCCCAGAGCAGGGGATTGCTGTACTAGAGCCTTGGATTTGAAATTCCAATTTTCCTTATGCCACTATTATGGGATAAATTGCGCCCCTGCAAAATTAATGTTGAAGTTCTAACTCTCAGTACCTCAGAATATGACTGTATTTGGAGATAAGGCCTTTAAGGAGGTGATTAAGGTAATGAGTTCATTGGGGTGGGTCTGAATCCAGTGTGACTGATGTCCTTATAAGAAGAGATTAGGACACAGACACAGGCAGAGAGGACCACGGGAAGACACAGGGAGAAAACCCCTCCACGGGTCATGCAGATTGGCCTGAGAAGAAACCAACCTTGAACTCAGACATAAAGCCTCTGGAACCTGGAGGAAATAAATTTCTGTCATTTCAGTCACCTAGTCTGTGGTGCTTTGTGATGGCAGGCCTAGCGAGTGAAGATAGCCACCACCACCTCTCATTCAATCTTAAATAAGAATATTAAAGTTATTTTTTTTTCCTTTTCCTTTTTTCCCTTTCTTTTTACAAAGCTTCATCTATAGCTTTATCTAGGGAGTACTTTGAAAATTAGCTTCATGCTGTGTTAGGTGAAGAAAATATCTTCAGGGTTATATTCCAAAATCTCAATATGAATTTAAATTCAACTAGGGGAATTTTTTTTATTATTAATATATTAGGTTCACCTGGAAGAGTGTACTCTGGAATTTCCATCTCTTACTTAGGGAATATCTTTGAAATGTAGATATTGCCTTTCCTTTTGATAGCTTCCAATATTTCCCCCAAAGAATTCAAACCAGTTTACCCTAAAGGTTATAAAGTGAAAGATGTAAGAAATCAGCCTTTGATCGTGAGCAGGCGTCAGCCATAGTGAAGAGGGTTGTATATTCGTATCAGAAATGAAGGCTAAGACCAGTTATTGCAATTAAGCAAACGTTGTAGCTGTGAGCTTCCAGGCGGCCACTGGCTAAGAGAAAATCAAGATGTGCCCACAGAGTCCACTGTGACCATGAGAAGCGATCACCCTGTCAGGTATGCATTTTTCACGGAATAAATTCTAACAGGAACTCTGTAAGGGAGATTTAGATAGGACTATTATTTCTGAATTTATTTGAGTGAGATCCAAGGTCTTAACCACACTGAGAGGAACATATTATAAATCTAGACAGTACCTGATCCAGGTGATAGCAGGGACGATAAGGGAGCAGTGTGGCAGAGCGATGTAGGATAAGGGTCCTACAGAAGAGCAGTCCCCACCGTCGAACTGGATACACACATCTTTCATTTCTTTTCGGCTTGATGGAAGAGAGAATTTCATATGGGTGTCATTCAGCACATGGCTAACCCGTATCCTGGGAAGGGGTGAAAGAAGGGACAGTCCACTTCATGACCCATCACAACAGCCGAGGGAACTGCTGGTTCATCAGGGGTCACTTACTCAATCTGGGTATTATTTGGGGCTGGGTTCCTCTTTTTGTCCATGCATTTTTATCTTTTTTATTTGCATTTTCCTTACATGTGGGAAAGGAAGAGGATGTAAACCATTGCCTTAAGAAGCCCTAATAGAAAATGACTCAATTATTTTGAGGAATTATGGTTAACTTCGTGGGATACAATAATGGCACTGCTCTTAAATGTTAGAGATCTATGCTGACGTATTTATGAGTGGAAGGACGTGGTGTCTGGAATACATTTCTAAGAAACTCCAGCCACGACATTTGCAAAGGAGGAAAAAAAAAAAGCGGACAACCGAGATGAAACAAGATTGGCAATATGTTAATAAAATTTGATCTGGAGATGAATACAGACAGGTACACTACATCCATCTCTCCTGGTGACATTTTAAATTTTCCTTGAGAAAAAGCTTTTAGGGCTATAATTGGGTGCTGTGCATTGGGAGATGGATCCCACATGGGCGACCATGGTTTGAACCGGGCCCTTGCAACTTGACAGACATGCTAGGCTGTTCATGTGTACCCCAAATGGATGGAGGAATAAAGGAAGGAGGATTGTGACATGATCATGACCTGCCGTGGGGTGCTTTCTCTCTCTCTCTCTCTCTCCTCGAAAGTGCGTACACCCTTTGGCAATTAAAATTTAAAAAGCTTAAAAAACATTCTGACTCAAGCACGGAAGGGTAAAACCCAACATCTGAGTTTAGAATTCTGCCTTCGGAAGGCCAAAGCCCTTGTCAAGAGCACAGGGGTCTCAGAATGAATTAGCCTCAGGTTAGCTGCCTCCCTAAGCAGCTTCCAGACTGGGAATAAGCCAGGACTGTCCTAGGCGTTCCTTACGTCCAGAAACAGCTGGCCCTTGCCCTTCAGGAGCAAAGGCTTCAACCATAGTCTCTTGGTAAGCTCATGTGTCCCGTCTGTGATGACCCTCTAAAGCACGCACCATTAAGACTGGGTTGTGTCTGAACAACGCTTGGTGTAATTATGCCACACAGCAATCTATTATTACCACTTAAAGGATATGTGCATGATGGCTAACTTTCATGCTATTATTAAACCTTATGATTAGGCAAATTCAAAAACTGTTTGAATTGGTTTACACCACTTCAAATTTACGTTTTTTTAGACAGATTTTTGCTATAAGCTGCGTGTGCTTCTTGGAGAGACAGAGAGAGACACAGAGATATAAAATGAAAAATCACCCCCTAGTGGGGATGGCCACACCACAATCCCTTCTCCTCCATTCTCCTCTTGGGATTTTGGGCATGCAAGCATATGTGCCCAGTGCAAGTTTGAAGCTGCCTGGTCTGGGACTCAAACCATGGTCAATCATGTGGGAGTCCAGTGACATAACCATTATGTCAGCTGCTGGTCCTCCCAGATGTATATTTTATGTATATTCAGAGCAAAGCTGGAGAAAATTCATTATCAAATGACTATTAAAATTCAAACTTGTTTATAAATTTGAGAAAGAAAAAGGTGGGACTGTAGGTAATTCCACTACTTTTCTTACATTTTTCTCTTCGAAATAAAAAGGCATTAAAAAATACCATAATAAAAGAGTTGGGGATTATAGCATGAACACAGGTGTAGGATTCACTGAGTCTTATGTTGACTGCTCGTGAACTTCGGTTCACCACACAGATGTGGTTACTGAAATGCTCCAAGCACAAAGGTCTCTTAGTCATTTAATTTAATAACTGTGGTATCTTGAGACACATTCGGAATTGAAATGAGAGCATAAAGAGTCAGAACAGGGTAATGCTCTGAAAAATGACTTATTTTCTAGTAACGTTGATTGCCTTTCAGTGAACACACAGGTGTCTAACTTTACAGATTTTGTTCCACAAAATGAAAGATTTTTGCAATAACGTGTTTAACCAGGATAAACGGCACAACAATACCTATGTTGCATAGATACAGCTTCTAATGTGTGCTCGATAATTCTGGTAAATAGCAGAACAGAGGAAAGCTACCAAAGAGCAGCTTTTTTCATTAAGATCACAGATATAACAAATTTACTGCCAGGAGGGGAAGGGGATGGCAGTGATGTGCAGCAAATGAATTAAAACAGAAAATTCAGTAAATAAGCATGGCAGATTAGAATGCTGAACAAATCTGTTTTAGTAGTTAAAAACCAAAACATCACGCTTCAGCAGATTGTCTTAAATGCCTTTCCATGATGAGAATAAGCTCAGTATTATACTTCCTGTAGACTGCAACATCTTTTACTTCAAATTAGCCCAAACTTGTAAAAGTTAACAAGCAGAAAACTCATGTAATCTGTTGTCTTATTATCATTACGTCTTTTTTTTTTGGAGAGGGAGGGGTCACAATGTGCACAAGGACATCAGAAAAACTGAAATGTTTTTCCTCAACATTTCATTGATAGGAGGAGTTAGGGAGAAAGAAGCCTTAGAAATAATGTCCACATGGCACACTGACCAGATAGTTACGTTGCCATCTTTGGTTCTTTTTCACTACTAAGATATATACTAGTAATTTAATTATCTGAGATTGAAACCAAATCAGTAAAGAGAAAAAGTCTACAGAGGATAAAATTTTCACCTAAGATGGATTAAATTTTTTTTTCAACTTTGTATAACATATTGGAAGAGTTGCTCCATTAAATTTTCCACCAAATTCTGGGGTACTTGACTATTTTGTCTACATGCATCTTAAAAATGGTGTTTGCTACTGTACATACTTGATTTTGTTAATAAAAGTGAATCAAATCCAAAATAGGCAACATCCTGAAATTATTATTATTATTTTTTTTTTGGAGAGGTTTTCACTATAGGGTGCGTGCACTCACCAGACAGACAGAGAGAGACAGAGAGACGGAAAGCAAGAAATCACACCCCAGAGGGGATGGCCACGCCGCAATCCCTTCTCCTCCATTCTTCTCTTGGGATCCTGGGCACGCACACACACGTGCCCAGCGTGAATTTTAAGCCACCGGGTCCTGGACGCGAACCGCAGTCGACTATGTGGGAGTCCAGTGACATAGCCATTACGCTAACTGCTGGTCCCGTCATCCTGAAATTATTATGTACTCAGATTTTGAGCGAATAACAAGGGACAGAATCTCTCACCATGAGCACCAAATTTGTTTCGAATGTTTAGTTTCTGGAGCCACACTATAGCAAATACTCAGATTAACCGGCCCACTTTGATGGATAGAAATAATGTGACTAAAAATAAATAATAAAGTTAAATAAAAAATAATTATTTAAAAATAAATAAATAAATAAATAAATAAATGGGGCCCAGCAGGCAGTGTAGTGGTCAAGGGCACTGGACTCCCACATGACCAACTGCAGTTCGAGTCCCAGACCTGGTGGCTAGCTTTCTCACTTTCTCACTCTCTCTCTCTCGGTCTCTCTGTGGTCCAATTAAAATAAATAAATAAAGTTAAATGAAAAATAATTCTCTTAAAAAATAAAAAGCAAAGAAATAAGGTAACTATATCTTCCTTTGGCATTAGTTTTACCTTTACGTTGCCAAGGGTAAATGACTAGTATTTCAACTTACACGTCCTTATCACAAGTACTGGTTCCTTTCAGGATCATGGTGATGCTCGATGCCTGGGTAAAGTTTGCTCCCGTTACTATCACATTATTTTTCCCTAAGGTCGATATTTTCTGTGGCTCAATGGACTTAATGTAGAAGACCTATTGGAAATAAAAGATTAAAACATGAGAGTAAAGCTTAAGAAATGGCATTGTTCCAAAGAGTCTGTTTATGCGCTGCAGTCGAAGAAATCACGGGGAAATTACAACATTTTGCAAACACAAGCAGGCAGTGTTTAATGAAATCAATGAATGCAAGGAAGAGTGCTGAAGATTCATGTCTCTCAACATGCGACAGCATGAGGTCAAACCAATTAGTCTTTGTCTCACAAGACAGTTGAAAATCCAGTTGAAGAGTCTGACATTCTGTCTGAAGAGTGAGATATCACTAGAGTTTCGAAATGCTCACTGCCTTACAGCCTCTGGAGGTTCACAATATAAGCAAAATGAAGTAAAAGAAAAGGAGTCCATTGACTGCAGGCCAACAACAGACTTGTCATTAAGTTGAAATAAATGTCATTCCAGATAAATTTAATTGCCAAGAAAATATTTCATATTTTGTTTGTTTGTTTCAGTTAGGTTATTTGAATCAAAGACTATACTTCAGGGCAGGGAAGAAATCTTAAGAAATCAACCCATTCAGTCTCCAAATACCAAGTGGTTGAAGCTAAACCACTGTGGTCAACCATTTCTTCTCCAGTGTACAGATAGCACAGTTTCCTCCTTACTACCCAATTACAGATGTTATCAGGCCTACGATTAATAACAAGTCCCAGGACCAACAGTTGGTGTAATGGCTATGTCACTAGACTCCCATGTAGTCGACTGTCATTCGAGTGCTGGACCCGGTGGCTTAAACTCAACGCTGAGCACGTGTGCATGTGTGCCCAAGATCCCTAGAGGAGAATGGAGAAGGGATTGTGATGTGGCCATCCCCCCGGGGGGTGATTTCTCGCTTTCTGTCTCTCTATCTTTCTCCAAAAACAAAACAAAACAAAACAAAAAACACATGTCTCTTGGAGTCTCCAGACATCTAGCTTCTTCTAAGTCACATCCCCTCTTCATTTACAAGGTCTAATCAAACTCCCCCTTTAAAAAAAATCCCTTTATTTCATGGGAAGAATCATTTCCTTTTTCAAGACAAGATGATCCTGATAAAACAATCCACAGATGCTATCATCGATTGTTCTGATCATTTTGCTGTTCTTTTGTAGACCACTTCCAGTAAGTCTGTGTTCTTCTCTAGTACAGTGACCACAACAGGACAGAAGATGCTAGGATTCTGGCTCATATAAAGTACAGTAGACTTCGAGTATGAATGAACTTCATGTACTCTTGATATTTGAAAACGATCCCAAGATCCAGAGATGCTTAATCATGTGACATTTAGCCAAACCACAAATGCTGAGTGCTTCCACTGAAGTCTAAAAGGAAGCCACTGAGCCACAGGGAGAGCTGCCGTGATGGCCTGCACCTGCCTAACACCTGCCTCTTGAAGCAGCTGGGTAATCTCTGCTCCTGTGTGTGGGCAAGGCTCATCAGGATGGTCTTGCAGGGCTGCTAGGACAACCCACCCTGCTGAAATGGACATTTTCTCATTCTGCTCTTCAGCAAACACAGGTGCTCCATGGTAGAGCGGTCACCATCAGTCATTATAGCTATAGATTGGTTTTGCAGATTGAGGTAAATTCATCATTAATGTCATCACAGCAATGATGTAACGTGACAGAGAATTGATTTCGGTGGCAGAATTTATTTTAATCACTTTGTAAAGGACTTTGGACTCGTATTTATAGAATCACAAAGGGCCTGAAAGGGTCACTTTAATTATCCTGTTATACTTGACTGCATTTTATGGGGGAAATTATCTGCTAGAGTGGTACTTGGAATGGGGGGATTAGCAAAGACTTCAAGATAAATCCCTTGAAAATGTCAAGTGTGTGTTGTATAGCAAAAGGCTCACTCTTTGCTCTTACAGGATGACAGCCAAGTGAACAAATATTTATTGAGCACCTATAGTCTCCTTAGGACAGCACTCGATGTTTTGAGGGGACACATGATCTACATGTGCATTAGCTGAGGCATTGACAACTTCAGCCTCCAGGCCAAATCCTGGCTGCTACCTGATTCTGTATGGCCCATGAAAAAAAATGTCCAAAGAAGAATGTTTCATGACATATGAAAACACATGAAATTCATATTTCAGTGTCCATCAATATTTGTATGTTGTCTCTGCCGGCTTTTGCACACAGCAGCAGAGCTGAATAGCTGCAACAGAGACCATACGGCCCGCAAAGCCTAAAATATTTACTGTCTGGCTCTTTGGAGAAAAAAATGTCCTGACCTCTGCTCTAGAGGAGTCTGTTGTCTTCTTAGGGAGGCAAAGAATTTTTGTTTTGTTTTGTTTTTCCTGTAAACTTCGATGCAGGCTGCATTTACAAGTCAACTGTGACGCCCAGGCTTCCTTGCTTTCTAGATAGTCCTTCCCATGCCTTATATGTATACCGTTGATGTCTGCTAGAATGTAATATTCAAGCATGCCAAGTAAATGCTACTTCACTACTCTCTGTAGAGGATGAAAAGAGCCTTCAACTAATGTGAAAAATATTTTTTAAGGAAGTTGTGTTTTGCTCCTTAAATGGTTCTACAAACACCATCAGAGGACCTGCCATGTTGTCTTATTAACTTTCTATTTCCCCCTGAGTAGAGACAGCCTTGCTACTTCAGAAGGATTTCATTTTAAAACCTCATTGTTTAGAGAAGTTTCCATCGGCCTTCTAGGACAGCATCCAGTCCTGGCCTATCTCACAAAACCAGATGTTTCTAGTCTTCTTTCAAAGAGGTCAGATTAGTTGTTCTTTGTGTGCTTGGAGAGCCTCTCCTAATATTAATAAGTGGGTTAAAGAGCTACCAATAATACCCTTCCTCCAAAATAACACAGGAATGTAAGAAAATGTAAAAACAAAAATAATAACAGGGCAGCTATATTACTCTACTACACAGCTGCGACAGATTTTAGAAATACATTTTCTATTTTTGCTGATAAAAACTTTTGTAAGTCCCATATAGACAAAAAGACAGTAAATGATGTCCCTACAAATGTCTGACATACTCAATATTTTAGATCTATTTTTCTATTTTAATCAAGACTTAATTTATCACCTGACATGAAGTAGCTGATCCCATCAGCTTACACATGGGAGGGGTTAATGTAAAAACATAATTTAGCTAGATACAAAGGACTATTGTTTACAGACCTATGGTGAGATTATTCTCTCACACTATGTCCAAAGATTTTTATATAAAACCCAAATATCGTGACTGTAACAGTCACAACCTGTGTTGTCCCACAATTAACCTTGGAATAATCTACTTCTTGTCAGTTACATCTTAAAGGTTTAAAAGTTATTTTTTATGGCTGCACAGTTTTAAATTATTGAATAAAATACTATAATCTCGGGTCTCTTGTGAGTTTAAATCACTCTCTGTTCTATATAAGAAAGCACATTAGAAACTGGTTAATTAGGAGATTTATAGAATACTCAATTATTTTTATTTTTTTAAAAAAAACTAGCTCATTATAAAATATTGGAAACAGCACAGCCACTAAGAAATAGTTATCTTTGAAAAGGTCTAAGAGGATTACTCCTGACAGTACAAGAACCTTTTGTGAAGTCTGACGTCAACACAATTCAAATTACCATGACATTAATGGAGAAAATACTGCTATGATTGAAAAGAATATTGGAAAGTGGTGCATTAGGAAGGCACAGTTTATTAAGACCAAATTGTACTCTATTAATCTGTTAAAAAAATCTGAATATAGCAAAGCTCTCTGTAGGCTTGGACCTGAATCAACACTCAGTAAAATGTCTCTCAGATTTTCACTTGTGAAATTAGTTCAAACAGGACTGGATAAAAAGTCACATGGATTCCAAACCAGCTGGAAATCTGAGACCAAAAGACATTAGAGAGATGAAAGGTAGCACAACTAATTAAAGGAAAGTGTCCTATCGGGCCCTACAGGGGTGAGTATTTGGTTCAGAATTATTTAACATCTTTATTAATGACTGAGAAGAGAATGGAAGTAATATATTAATAAAATGTTTAAATTGAAAAGAGTGGTAACCAGCAGTGGGCATGGGAAAGTAGGAAAGGAGGTGAAATATGGAAAGAAAATAACAAAATGTAATCCCACAGAAGAAAAATTTGAGAGCTAAACGAAAAGGTTATCTATTTGATGCTCAGCCCCCCACTGGGGCACAGCCCCAGGGACCTTCCAGTTAGCCTTATCAATAGTTAGCAACATGTCTTGACATAGACCTAGAGACTTCCAGACAGAAGGTGATAGACCAATGCTCTCCACTAAGACATCAAGACACTTCTTTAAGGTGAGGTTGACATGGCCCAGTGTGGGGCTGTCAAAGTCACTCCTTAAAGATGTTACTTTTGGCCACTGACCTTTCTACACACGGTTCCTCAGAATTGGCATTGGTGGCCGATACCACATGTGATTCTAACTTAAACCCATGCTCAAAGTCTATCCCTCTGCCTAGTTTCAACTTAAACATGAGATTCTTGCTGCTCTACTCCAGGAGCCTAATCTGAAGCCTCTTCTGCTTTCCCTGTCTTGGGGAAGATGACCAGCTTTGTTTAAATCTGACTCCATCCCAAGCTACCCCTCGCCTCCTGTGTCTTTGATGTTAATACAGTCCCCTCACAGCCTGGCCAGGCTGTAGGTCTTGGTCCCACCCTGCATCTGTGGCACAGTTGTTGGGGAGGCATACTTTGACAGCATAGTACCAAGAAATGCCAATATTTGTTTTATGGTTGAATGTTTATTTATATTCAGTTTAAGCCATGCAATGTAGAGTGATGGTTAAAACTGTGAACTCTTGAACAGGACTACCTGAATTCAAATCTCTTTTTACTCATTTACTACTTACTTATTCTCTCTAAGCCAAAAATTCCTTGTCTGTAAAATGAGAAATACAGGTTCATTGTGAAGCATAAATGCCTACTCTGAGCTCAGGAAATAGTGTCGTTTTAACAAACACTAGCTACCTCTGTCCAATTTAATACATCCTGGCATTCCTTCTTGT